ACCGCGCATCAGTCGGCGGCACGCCCAGGGGGGAAGGCAGAGCCGGCGGGCCTTCCCAAAGGCGCTGAAGGGCTCGGGCCTTCTGAGAAACTCCCTGAGCTTTCTCCCCGAAGCCACGGAGGGCTTTCTTCTCAGAAGGCAGGAGGGCTTCTGAGAAGCCCCGCCGCCTTCCTGAGGAGGCCTGCCCTGGAGAGTAGAGAACACGTGGTCCAGGACCAAGATTGCACGCGGAAGCGTTGATTTTGGTCAGCGTCATTTTGTGGACCCCCCCCGATGGCGAATCGGCGACGGCCGACACAGACCATGACCAAGATAGGCATCGACAAGATTCCGCGACATCTTTCGGGGACGCGCAAACATGGATTAGCGATCCATGGATTTGGCGCGCGGTCGCCAAATCCATGGATCGGGGGAGGCGCCCTCCCCAAAACGCGGCCGGTGCCGCCTCGCTCAGGGGCGGAAATCCGCGATTTCCCATTGAAACGGGACCTGTCGCTAATCCACGCCCCCTTGATCCATGTTTGCGATCGCCTGAATCTTGGTCATGGTCCCCGTGCTTCTTTCCTCCATGCCCCCTCCTCACCCCCTCGGCGCACCGCCGAATCTGAGCAGAGAGCGCGGAGCGCCCATGATCCGCCTTTGGGCGCCTCCGGTGATAGTACGTGCGCGCTCGCGTCTCCCGAGCGCTGTCCTACACACGCTGCGGCATCAAGGGGGCGCAGCGCTCCCGGCGCTCTGGAGCGGGCGGGCGTGGCGCCCGACAGCCCCAGGCTCCCTCGCTCTGCGCTCCTCCCTCCCGCCCCCTCGCCCCGCACGGCCCCCCCTGCTCCCCCCACCGTCCTCCCCGTCGTCCCCCCTCGCCTCCAGGCCCCCTCCCTCCTCCCCCCTCCCTCCAGCCTTATTGCACCTCCCCCCCCCCAGCTCCCCACCGCTCGTCCTCCCAGCGCCCCTCTGGCCCTTATCCCCCCTCTCCCCCCAACTCCCAGACGCTCGTCCTTCCCGCCCAAGTCCCCCCCCACCATCCCTCCAGCCCCCACCCCAACTCCTCCCAGTCCTCCTGTCCTGGTAATTAGGGACAAGCATAAACACAAATGTTCAGAGGCCCAGAAGCTCATGCTCGAGCGAGTTTCCTCCGTCGAGGGGCCGGGGAGACGGCCCCTGCCTGTCCAGCCTCCTTTTCCTGGTCGTTGCCCCTGGCTGCCCTCCCGCCGCCCCCAGACCTCCGCCGACAGGGCTATTGCAGTCTGCGGCCCCAGGGATCCCGAACGCTTCCCTGGGGGCACTGGCGGCGCGCACAAGGGGGGCAGGGGAGCGGGGAAGGCGCAAGGGAGGGGGAGGGGGAGGGGGAGGGGGAGGGAGGGGAGGGGGGAGGGGGAGGGGAAAGGATTGGGGGGGAGGAAGGATTCTGAGAAGGAGGCTGTTCCTTAGAAAGCGCCGGCCCTCTTTCTGCCGACAGCAAGGCCCGCGCCTTCTCAGAAGCCAAGAATCCCTCGCCCCTCCCCCTCTGCCCTGAGGCGCGTGGTCGAGCTTGGCTTTCGGGGCAAAACTCAAGTCTCCAGCGGCCGCTGGGGACGATCCGGGCAGCCCCGTAACGCTCTCAGCGAGGCGTAGCTGCTGCACGTGGCTCCCGACAACCCCCCTGCGCGTGGCTTGCTTTTTTTTTTCAGCGGCCGAAATTTCTCACATGGCCGACGGTAGTTTGTCGCCCCGGTTACGTTTCTGCTGGCGCTGGGACCCGAAGACTGCCGGCGGCGAGCGAGGGGGGGAAGCGAGAAGGAGAAGGCCTTCTCTGACTACCTACCAGACCACCCCAACCCAACCCGAAGACCCGAATTTCGGGTTGGGGGGGATAAGGGTTCCACAGGTGTCTTTTCAATGTTCCCCGACCCCCCCCCCACTGGAAATCGAGGGTAAATCTGAGCCTTCGGGTTGGGTTGGGGTGGTTTGGTGGGTAGTGATTCCCGGACGGCTCCGAAGTCCCCCCGCCTTCAGGGAACTGTTCTGCGCCTTCCCCGAAGACAGACGCCAACGTCTCAGCGGGCGCGCGGGCTTCTGAGAAGCCCCGCCGCCTCCTGACCTCGGCCCGCAGGCTCCCGACGAGCTCCGACCCAGGGAGCGGCCAAGAGGGGGGCATGGCCAAGAGGGGGGCGCAACTCATGGCCAGGGGCCTCGAGCCTTCTGAGAGAAATGTTGTAGGCCTCCCCCGAAGACACAAAAACCTCCCCCGAAGGACGGAAGGCTTCTGATAAGCCCCGCCTCTTCCTCAGAGGGCCGGCTCCTCCTCACTCCCCCCTGGGCGAGGGGCCTGTGTGCGGCCTGGGGGGGGGGAACCAGGGACGCACTGCAACAGGAAGAGGCGCCGTGAGATCCGGGGAAAGAGCATGGCCCCGCCATGAGATCCAGCCCCCCCTAGTCACCCCCCCCCCCCTCCTTGCCGCCCCCGACGATCCCTGACCCCTGCCCCAGGGACGGCTTGCTTCTCGTCGCAGGTAGTTTTGTT